CCCTAAAACCGTAAAACCTTAAACCCTAAAACCCTAACAACCCTAAGCCCTAAACCCTAAAGATTCCCAGATCTTGGGCTTCTGCGAAGGAGGGCGGCAAGGGTCTGGCGCTGGCGTCGGGCCTTCTCTTGCCTGTTTGGGTGCTAGGGCTTAGCCTTTAGGGTTCTAGAGTTTAGGGTTTAGGGTTTAGGGTTTTAGGGTTTAGGGTTTAGGTTAGGGTTTATGGTTAAGGGTTTAGGGTGTAGGCGTAGGGCTTAGGGTTTGAGGCTTTAGGCTTTGGGATTGGGGCGTTAGGGTTTCGGTTTAGGGCTTTGGGTTTTAAAGCTCTGGGTTTGGGGTTTTGGGTTTAGGGTTTCTAAGTCCTTCTCAAAAGGGCAGATCGAAGTGGGCGGACGGATTTTTAAGTGCAAGACCTTGTGTCAGCGATCCTCAGCATGGAGGGGGGCTGGCTCCCTACTCAGTGCTCCTTGTTAAGATTGCTTTAGTTTATAATATTTAGGGTTTAGGGTTTAGGGTTTAGGGTTTAGGGTTCTATAGAGTCTTGACAACTTGAGGCTGGTTGTCCCGCCTGTACGATGGGGTTGGCGCTGACTCGTCCTGCGAGCGACGGGCCCGCGAAACCGATGCTGCAGGGCCCAGGGTGGGGTAAGGCCTTGTAACATCATGGCAGTGGAATCGCCCTAAACGAGATCCACCGGTTAGGGACGTGGGAAGGTTGGGTTTGGAATGGCTTCAGCGTTTGACAACATGGTGCCTGAACTCTGCGCGGTGGCATGTAGCAAGTAGGCTTTGGGATGATGAAGTCTGGGCGTGATCAGGTTCGGGGTGCTGTTACCCTGACATCAACCCCTAAACCCTAAACCCCAGACCCTAGACTAATGTAGGGCCTTAATAATTAGAATAGGGTTTTGGGCGCTGTTATACTATATCTATACTAAGCAACGCCCCAAAATAGTATTGGCAATTATGTAGGCCCCTAGACTAAATAAACCCTACACAAGCAGTGCACCAGCTCAGCTCAGGCCAGAAGAGAGCAGAGTCCTCAGGTCTCATGAACCGCGTCGCGGCCACAGGATCCTGTCAGGGACCAGGCTGTATGGTAAAAAGGCTTTGGGTTTAGGGGTTTAGGGTTTAGGGGTTTAAGGGTTTAGGGGTCTAGGGTTTAGGGGTTTAGGGTTTAGGGGCTAGGGGTTTGGGGTTTAGGGATTTGG